GAGCTGTAAAACAATGGAGATGGGCTAAATAGTATGTAGCATTAGAACACGTCGGACTGTTTATTGACTTTCCTCAACCTCGACTTAGAAATATCGGAAGTGATATTCCAACAAGTCCCAAATAATTGTTTTAATTACAAAATTCTACATTAAAATGAAAATTCTACATGATAAAAAAAATAGTGATTTCAAAAAACGACTGACGAGGGTTTGCTTCTTGTCAGCAGTTTTTGTTTAAGATATATTTGCATCTTTATTGCTATTTAATATTGTCAATATATTTTCCAAGTAAAATGCTGTTATCATTTTAAATAACATCATCCATATCAATGTTTTATCTCTCATTTAAACAAGAGATTAATTAATACATATGTACTTGAAGTAAGCTGGAGGGAACTTTGAAATGTTTATGTACAAAATAGAACAATCAGGCTTAGACGATTGTGTGCACCGAATTTGTAAATACCAATCTGGATCAACAATTCAATGTCGAATTCCTAAGCCTACAGCAAGTGTTGCAAAACTTCCTCCTTTCTAGATCAAAGCGGTTTTTTTTTCTGCTGCTAAGCTTCTATAAATCAATCCTTTATATTCTAATCCCACACTAGTTTATACTACAGGTATGTCGTTTTAGAATAAACAATGGATTTCTGGTCTTGTTTGTCGGAGGAAATCGATCTATTTTTAAATTGGTTTTCTAGAAATTGTTAAAATATCCCACGTGCGTTTGTATGTGTGTCTTTTTGTGGCATGTTTGCGATGTTGCTTTAGCTTTAGCTTGAGACTTGGCTTATTTGTAGTGCTTGCGAAGTTTCCTTTTGGCACAAGCGGCATTCATTATGAAAAGCAAACAAGGTAGTCAAGCTGGTGGCAAAAGCATGCAGCAAAACGTGTCCGCCATCAATCTGTTAGAATGTCGAGCTGCTTAGCTGTCAAGCCACCCTACCTACCTACCTACATACTCTCTTCCATTCCCAACGACCCTTAGTCTGACCGACCAAACTGTTTTCGCACGTTTCTGGAGCTGCCAGGCTTCGTACTTTGGGTTCAGCCCCAACCCTCAGTCAAGCATTGAGAGTCTTCCCCAGCCGCTGTGTGGCAGATCAAAGCTAACGGGCCGACACTCGAGCGCTGCTCGGCAAAAACAAAAGCCCTCGGCGCTGTCTCAAGCGTTATTTATTGTTCGTAAAATAGCCGACGTCGACGTTCTGCCAGCCTGCCAGCCTGCCTGACTGACTGCAGCAGGAGTAGGAGCAGCTGTAGAAGCCCTTAGGCCGTAGTTCAACGCAAGTCAAAGGGCTTAGCTTTGGGTGCCAGCGTTGCCATATCGTTTGCCGTTTTGTGGCATATAATCATTTTGGTGTTTGCAACAACCGCAGCAAGCGATAACAATAATAACAGCAACAACAACAACAGCAATAACAAGCCAGCAAAGGCAATTAATCAAACACTAAACACTTTGCGGTTTACATTATTCTCCTTCCTGTTTGTGTTGTTATTGTTGTATGTATACGAGTAGCGTGCAGTTGTGTTTCCGGTTTTTGTTATTGTTATGGTTAGAGCTTTTGCTGACCATGTTTTTGCATTTGCAATCTACTTTTGTTAACAAATTAATATCATCTCTCTATCTCCTGCTATCTTTCTCTCAAATGCTGTCTCCCTATTTCTATCTCGCTTGTTATTGTTTCAATTATTTTGGCAACCTGCCATTATACCACTGAACTATGCAATCCCGACGACAACGAAACTAAATTAACACGCATGCACACACACACACAATCACATTGTCTCACACACATACATATAAACAATTGTCTCCAACAACGCCAATTGACAGGCAGCACTTTGCGTGTCCCAGAGTTCGAGTTTCTAAGCTGCCCACTATCTGTGTTTAAATGAATGTCCATGTGTTGGTCTGTTTGTATGAGTGCATGTGTGTGTGTGTGTGTGTGTGTGTGTGGACCAATTGAAAACAGCAAAGAGCACACAAGGATTACAATCTATCAGCTTGAACAACGCACAGAGTCAGGCAGCGAGGCAGGCAGGTTTAGAACCTCCTGAACTTCCTCTACGTACTCCAATTTAGTCTGTCCATGGGCTCATTCCCACGTCCGTGTCCGTGTCCATGTCCATGTCCACGTCGTCGTCCATATCCGGCACACACTCTCTGCCATCCAGTTCAGTTCAAATTCGGCTCAGCTCTTGTCGCATTGCAGTTAGTAGGTTCAAACGCTTTTGTGTGTTAAATCGGTTTTATTGTTGTTTTGATGTCGATGTCGATGCCGTTGTTGTTATTGTCATTTTTGTCGGCTTCAATCATTGCCATAGGTTTCTACTTTTTGCATTTGACATCTATGTATGTGTGTGTGTGGGTGCCTGGCAGCAACTCTATTACCCTTAAAACGAGTCAATGAGTTCGAAAAAGCAATAATAGAAGCACAGAAGTTGCCGTTTGCTTCTAACATTGTTGAGGCACAGGTGATTAAATAATGTTTTTATGTAAAAGAGAAAAAAAAGAAAGTTGAAAACACTTTGTGGGAAATACTTAAGGCTGGCAAGCTTTAATTTGAAAGCAAACAGAAAATTCTTCTTGTGGGAAAATTCTTCTTGTAAAAAAATTTATTTTTTTCCCGGCTAACAAAAATTTAATTTCAATTTTCAGTTTTTAGATTTGAGTATCACATTTGCCAAGAGGGTATGCCAAAGGTTAATTGATTGCTTTATTGCTTTACATACATATAATTACACATTTAAAATGAAATGAAGCCATTTTTAATTGTATTTAGAGAATAATTGCACTTGATTTAATCAATTTATTTCAATAGTGGGTTTTCAAAAAGTGCAATCGATATTATTTCTGTATATAAATAAATTACTTTTAAGAGGTATCAATAAAGTAACCGAGCATTTAATTAATTACAATTTCGTTAATGTTTTATTTTAAAATGAGTGTGAGCCTTACTTCGCAATTAATATTATGATTTGTTTATAGGTTGTGCTCCGCGAAAAGCTACCCTGCTATGTACATATAATGCCCGTTCTGGGTTTAAGTTTCATGCAGATCTGTACAAGTGCTATGTGGATAACACTATTATATGGATAACACTCTTATATGGTTTAGAGCTCGGGTTGGTACACGCGCTTTTCACTTTAAAATAACAAATCCATTTAATGTAATCGATTTAAAGAGAAATTTATGCTCTTTTCCGTTTTTTATCACGACTACAGCCTTCCACTCCATTGATGGTTCAACCAACTCAGAGCACAGCATTTTACAAATTGACTTTATGGCGCCGTTATTTTCAGACTTCCCCTTCCGCTTATTTTCAGCACTCTCCTTCCCCATCTTCATTCATGCAGTTATTTTTGCGTAACTAAACGACAGCTTAACGTAAAGTTTTTAGCAACTAAAGCGGCGTAACAAAAATGAACATGAACGAACACGTACGAATGGGCTGACAGACGGTCAAACGTTTGTGGGAGTGAGAGAAAGGACGCGATGAAACCCGAATGCAACGCACACACCACGCACACTGTATCCTGCGAGCTTTCCAAAACGTTTCATTTCAGCTTTCAGTTATACATAGAAGTGTGTGGGCGTGTGTTTGTGTCAAAGGCAAAGCGACAGCCGGGACATGCCACCAACTAAATGTGCAAAACTAGAGTGGAATGTCCACCACTGTTCCACCTTTCCACTCTTCTCCCCCTTTTCTTTCTGCCCCTGACAACACAGTCCTTTGTACTACCGTCGTTATTCGGCATACACAGTTGCGGCGAGTGCATTGGCATTTGTAGAATTGCCAAAGCACAAGTAACTTGACAGCAGCAGCAGCAGCAACAACTACAATAGCCACTCGCAATTAAAATGTAATTTGCAATTTGACTTTTTTCCACAATTTGTGTATCGCGTACCTTCAAGCAAGATGAGTGCGTGTACACGCATACGTACATACTTGTATGACTATTTGAAACTAGAGCTGTGCGTGATAAATAAAATTGATCGAATCACGCATATTTACTAGGTGTTTTGCCTGCCTACGAAGTTTTCATAATATTTTTCCCTGTTCTGAGCAAAGAGAATGTTCCGAATTTCAGTCAATTTTTCGTTTGTATATAAAGCGATTTTATATAAAACGTTTATTAGGTATTTCATTGAATAAAGTTTCTGCGTAAAGACAGTCACGTTTCAACCCAATATAAACAATGTCAGATGCAGGAACAAAATATTTGAGGTAATCAAGTCTTTCATATTTATTTAATCTCAAATGGCTAGTTCTTTCCTTAAATACTTTAATATTTTTTTATTATTTGCATCCTCACAAGGATAGATAAAGTCATTATGTGTAATCAATTTTATATTCGTATCAAACAACCAACCTCAACAATTTTTCCTGTCCTCTTTATAAATTTCACCTTTTTGGTAATTCACGATCACGCACGCCATTCCTCACAGCTCTATTTGAAATGCAATTAAACTTTTACAACAGCTCACAACTATGTTAACATTTTGTAATCAATGTTATTGTTGTTTTTGTATTTGTTAAATTGTGCGATGCGTAATTGATTTTGAAGCCATAAATAATATTTGTCATAATTGTTAGCTATGCACAAAAGTAAAGTGTGATTAAATTGAATTTTCCCTTTATTTTTTTACCCTACGCTACACGCTACGTAAAAAAAAATATGAAACTGTTTCAAAGTGTGTTCAAGGAGTAGATAAAAACACCTAATGTGAACCCACATAGAATTTAAGCCGATTGGGAAAGATGACGTAAGTCCCAAGAGCAAAAAAACAAATTAAGTGGAATACCGAAAGAAAACATTGCGCAGATGTTGTTCAATTCTCTCAAGAAACATTTGTATATTATATTTAACACCCAAGCGATTATTTTGTTTAAATCATTAAAAACAGTGCAGCGTTCAGAATGAATTGGAATTGAAAACAGCGAATAATACTAAATAAATTATTTTTTATTTTTCATATTTATTTAATTCTAGATCTATCCGAAGAACCACCTTCCCTCAACGCCACCGCCAAAGTCTTTGCGATCCCAGTCGTACATTTTTCTGCCCTGAGCGTAGACATCTATGGTGCCGCGTCCATCTTGGGTTTTGTAAATATTCTGATCAAATCGAACACTCGATTGACGACCTCCTTGTGCTGGATCGTCGGTGTATTTAAGTTCGATTTTGCGGCCTCCTTCCGGCAATCCGTTGCCACCAAGCGGACGCACCTTGTTCCCATCGAACTCGTACTCCTCAGCTGCCACGTAGGCCAGCAAGCAAGCCAGAAACAAAAGTGTACACTTCAGAGCCATTGCGAGTACAAACTACAAATGTGATGAAAACGCATGGAACGAAAGTATTTATACACTGCAACGTACATATGAACATACTTATATGAGGGACTTTACATGCAAGATAACGTCATCTTTTGTTCCACGGCTGATTTTAGAGATAAGACGGGCAGTCTCTCTTAACCTGATTTATTTTACTTTCTTTGCAAAAGCTATCGATAGTAATTAATTGTGCTCTAAGGTGGGCAAATCATTATAAGAACAGCTTTTCACTTAACATCGGTTATCGACATTTGACCTGCACAATAATCTGGATTTGAAAATAACCTCTTATACATTTATGTACATACTAAATGCCCACGGTGAAGTCCCGTCGGTCTTTTTAGCTACGGTCATATTGTGTTTGGGATTCCCGGCTATTCATAAAAGGTAATGTGTCCGTAGTCTTACCCCCAGTGCTATTATATACAAATGAGTATATAGTACATATGTTGATTTGCATGTGTGCTATTGCTGTGAGTCAACAATCTCTGTTGCAATATTAGAGATAAATTAATGCTTATTTTACAATCCTTTGAGAGAAGTTGTATTTTGAAATAAAGCCAGCACATCAACAGATTGTAAACAGATATATGTACGTCAAAATTTTATTATTTAAAATAATTGAGACGTTTTATTGATGAATATTATATGCAAATTTATTAATATTAATTGATTTTTAATATATTAATTATGAACTTTATTCAAGTCATAATAATATGCACTAAAATATTCAATCAATGTAAAATTTATATCAAATTGTCACACTAAGTACATACTATTGAATAATACGATAGCACAAACTTTAATCAAATAATCCATCTTTATAATTTACCAATATTCTCTTTTATTTTCTGTAACCACTTTATACTTAAATATACTTGTATAAACTACAGCTTGACTGATGATGTTTTTTGTAATCATAAAAACAACATAATTATCTATCGAATTTGTATTGATTTGTTAGTTCTAAGCTATTATTCAGAAATCTGGGGTATAATATATGTATTTTTTTTTAATTTCAATAGCATCTTATTTATTTATTTTTAATAAAACATAAAATCAATGTACATCATGAGTAGCAAAAAAAGTGGATCCGATTAAAGATGAGTCCCCTTCTAAGTGATTTTTAAATAAGAATGAACCTTCCCCTTGGTAATCAAATGCTAAACTCGCAACAAACAGACTTACAAACAAAACCTTGGAGTCCATGCTTATCTACTAGAGTTTCGAACAAAACGTTTCGGTGATTTTTTTCATCTCAGCAAAAGTGATTCCCTTCATAATTTGATTAGCAAAATACTTATCAGCGCTACAAAGTAAACGGCATCACCATATGTGTATGCACGAGTATAAAAGGCACCTCATTAATTAAGCAACATTCAGAAAACAGTGTCGAGTCAAAATATCAAAACATACTGCCTCCAGCTCAAGATGTTCTTCAAATATACTTTGCTATTGCTTGCTGCCTGCTGTCTGGCTTTGGTTGCATCTGGATCTGTGCCGATGAATGAGGGATCCAGGATACTGGCACGACACGCTCGATCACCCAAGTCACAGGGCGGCAGTGTGGATCTTGGATATCGCAAGGATGCGGGTGGTCGTGAAGCCTCCATCCAATACAATCACAATCTGTATACGAGTCGCGATGGTCGTGGCAGCATCGATGCTTACGCACAAGGGAGTCGCAATTTCGATCATAATCGCAACAATTATGGTGGCGGCATCCAAGGACGTTGGCGTTTCTAGACTCTAAGTGTGAAACTATTTTCATTCACTCTATAATTAAAATATTTATATTCTGATATTAAATTTAAAAACAAAATCATTCCTGGCAAGCCTGGCATAATATTTTCCTTACGCTGCATTTTGAAGGGTCTACAGATAACATTAAAGCCTACTCTCGCAAGCGTGTTCCCATTTTGCATAATAAGTTATTTCTTATCAACATTACAATGCCAACTATGGAGGTATATAAAGCATATGCTTCGCTCAACGTTCAGCAGATAATATTTTCAAGTCAACTCAGCAAGAAGCGCAAGCTAAACATGAGATTCCTGTTTGTTTCAGTGCTAAACGCTTGCTACCTGACTTTGGCAACATCTGCAAACTTATATTGCGGACAGAGTCTTGAATATCCATTTCCAAATGAGTCGCATATATAGCATATGGAAATAGTCAGCAGGTGACAACAACATACTATATAGTACCTATATATTTGCTTTATTCATTGTAAAATATATTTTATTTAAAAAACAAGTAAAAAAGCTAAAGTCGGGTGTCCCGACTTTGAAATACTCTGTACATATGTTTACAATAATTATAAAAAATAAAAAAATTAAGAAAATAAAAAAAAAAAATGTGATCGATTTTACCTCTCTAGGTATTCGAACTCACGTAAACGGTGTATAATTGCACATTTACATAGCAATTGCGTCTGTGTGAGTGTATGTATGCCTATGCGCATCTATTCGTGTCTGTGTAAGCATTTTCGCAGTCAACCAAACAGCAACATCAACAACAGCCGCGGGCAGCGCTTGAGCAGCGCTTGAGCAGCGCTTGAGCAGCGCTGCAGCAGCGCTGCATCAGCAAATATATTTATGGCTATAACTTCTTGTTAAATCGGTCTATCATAATGAAATTTGGCATACGGACACATAATAACCAACTGGGGGTATTTCCAAAATTTAGTTCGAAATTCCAAGAATTACGGGAGTTACGATTTGCGGGGTAGAGGGGGGAGGGAGGGGAATTCCAAAATATACATTTTCTGCGTATTCACATAAGGCATCTGGGACTAAAATTTGGTGTTGCTAGGTCTTATAGTCTCCGAGATATAGGCGATTATACGAATGGAAAATCGGGAAAACCCCCATAGGGGGGAAGTGGGGGGGAAAATCAAAAAAATAAAACAAACTCGTATAGAATACACACATAACGCATCTTTGTGCAAAATTTGGTGTCTCTATCTCTTATAGTCTCTGAGATCCAGGTGTTCATACGGACGGACAGACGGACAGACAGACAGACAGGGCTAGATCGACTCGTCTCGTCATGCTGATCAAGAATATATATACTTTGTGGGGTCTGCCACGCCTCCTTCTGCCTGTTACATTTTTCAGCTCCCGCAAACCTAATATACTCTTGTACATTTCATGTACAGAGTATAAAAACACATACATTATAATGAATGAAAAATATTCTACTTAACATCGATGCTTGTTTGTAATAGGATTTGCGAATTAATTAACAGTGCAACTTGATGAGCATAAAATATTCATAAGTTCAGTTAGCGGTTTGGTTCCAGCTCTGGTTCTGAATTTGAATATCCGTTAACGATTCGGTTTTACTTAGACGGTAAATTTCGTGAACGTGTGCTTAGATTTTGTTAAAGAAAATAAGCATTTTACTTACATATACACACGCATTACATTTATCTAAAACAACTTTATCTTATGTATGCATAGAAAGGCACACATGTGTGAAGAAGATCATGTGTCGAGTTAAGCATTTTGCACATCATGTACTTATATTTATTATAAACAATTTGCATAAATTATTCAGTGCTGCTCGGCTTGCGAAGCACTGCAGTGCTACGGAAAGCTGAGAGCTGAGCGGGCCATAAGCTGTACTAATTTATAACAAACATATTTTATTACACGCATTTGCGCCAACATAAGATATACATAAATAAATAACTGCAAACACATACAAATTTATATAAATAATAACGCTTCTCTGCTGCAAAAGCGTTACAAAGTGGGGCTTGGACCTGGACTTTTGTAAACGGTGCTCAGGTCTCAGGGGTTGGGGGACTTACTCGAAAGCGCGCTAAAAGTTAAAGCGCCGGAACAAAGCAATCCGGAAAAAAGCGCCAGCACACAGAAATACTGCAAACTGAAATGTAGCTCCATGCGTGTGAATGTATATATATATATGTGTGTGTTGTGTGTGTGTGTTTGAAACAACAAACAACGCGTAAACATAAAAATATGCAAAAGCAAGCGACGACGCAAACTTTTGCCGCCGTAAACAAAAAGCTACCAGCAGCAGCAACAGCAGCAACAACAGCAGCCGCTAAAGCATCTACGGCTTAGTTTAAAATTTATTTTATTTCGTTTTTGGCGCAGTGTACAAATTTTTTAACACATGCAGCAACAACAAAGGCATACTTTTGGGGGAACGTGCCACAAAAAACAACAACAGTGCGCAAAAGGCCAAAAAGGAACGAAGCGCAACGTGAAAAAATGAGCTCAAGCCAGTGAAAAATGTGCTAGGCAGGCAGGAAAATGGTTTGGGCGAAACAACAGGACGCACGACACAGGACTTAGGAATGCCTATGCGTGCATGCAAGCAAGCAACAAAAACAACAGCAACAACACAGCTGCTGGCCGGTAGCATTAAAACGCTGCTAAATAACATTTGAAGCGTTATTTAAAATTTGTTTAAATTGAGCAGCTTAAGGCTAGACGATAAGCTTGCCTGTTACAACAAGATGCCGAGTAAAAATAATAAAGCTGTCTTAATATGCTTTAAGTCATGGGATTAGGGTGTTGAAATGAAATTAATGCACGCAAAAATTGCAGCCCAGAAGAAATTGGGTTAGATTAAACTGTAAAAGAAACACTGCAATCAAAATATTAGTACGAACTTCAACCTGCCACAACTCAGCGAAGATACCAAAAGGACAGCAACGTCTATATTCCTTTCAAAGGCAGATAGAATTATTTCCAAATAATAGATAATTCACTTTAAAACAAGTGCAATAGCTCTTTAAGAAATCCAAAGACGATTAATGATCAAGATGCTCATAACCAGACATTGAAACAAAAAGCATTTTCTTACAGTCTGACTGAGAAGATAATCCTTTTTAATTAGCTTTGCAATTAACGATTATTTATTTATATAAAAAGGACCTATGGCACAAAAGTAATTGATTTCGTGCAACAATATAATCAACTATATAACAAATGTGTGCAGGCTTACAAAGCGGCAAATGAATTACCGAGACCCAAAACAAGGAGAAATCCATTTCCATGCATTGGTTGATCAGCCGAATGGCGCCGACACTCAAAGCCGAATGCGGTACCCAAAATAAATTATAAGCAGGGTAGTAGAGTGCATAGAGTGTGGCTATACTATTGTTAATGCTCAGAGCCCACAAATAATCTGAGTACTCTATGGCCATGGCCAGGCACAAATCCGGCTAATCGCTTTGGTTTAGCGTAGGGCGCGTTTTGAATTACTTTTCAGCAATGGCGACGTTGACTGGAGTCCCATGCTTAGGACATCGGCTTTACTTTTCTCAACTGCGCAAAGATCTGCCCTACACAGCCATACCCAGCACTATACAGCGCAGCCAGAGCAGACGAATGAAGTTTTTTCAGAATGCGGCTTATTTGGAATTTTGCTTTTGTCTCAGTACTAGCAGCAAATCATAATAGTTAAGGCAAACAAGTCGGAGACTGTGCGTCAAGGAGGCAGACCGGCATTTTCAGCACAAAATCATTTATTAGGCAGAAGCCTAGCTACCGTCTGATGATGGTGCTTTGTGAGGCCAAGTGGCTCAGCAATGCTTGGCAAAAAGACGGAGACGACATAATGACTAAGCTCATTGCATTTGGTTGAGTGTAAAATGCGCCATGCTCGGTTTACTTTTATTCCCGTTCCCATCTATATACATACATAAAAACTTATGTATTCACATATTTAGGTGTGTGTGTAAGAGCAGCAATCTAGGCTAATGTGCACAATAAGGCACATTAAACAAGATTTGTCAGGTAGTCCAGATATAATAGACAGGCACCAACCACCCAGGCACGGCAAGGCGCACTAATACATATGAGTACGTGGCCCAGTTGATGGATGAATGAATGCATGAAGTGGCAAGAGTTGCTAACGGCTAAGAATGCCTAAGTATGTGTGATATAAGTACGAGAATAATTATGAAATCAGCACAATATGAATGAAAAAGTTCCTTTGCCAACCTACAGTACAGGCACAAAAAGTGTTTTAAGAAATAATTCACAATTAATATATTTCCAAAAGGCTAATTTTATTAAATTCATTAAAAATAGGTAAACAGCAAAATAAATAAGAATGAATTATATTCCATTGATCTCCTTAAAACATCCTATCCGAAGAACCACCTTCCCTCAATGCCACCGCCAAAGTCTTTGCGATCCCAGTCGTACATTTTTCTGCCCTGGGCGTAGACATCTATGGTGCCGCGTCCATCTTGGGTTTTGTAAATATTCTGATCAAATCGAACACTCGATTGACGACCTCCTTGTGCTGGATCGTCGGTGTATTTAAGTTCGACTTTCCGGCCTCCTTCGGGCAATCCGTTGCCACCAAGAGGACGCACCTTGTTGCCATCGAACTCGTACTGCTCGGCTGCCACGTAGGCCAGCATGCAGGCCAGAAAGAAGAGTGTGTATTTAAGAGCCATAGCTGATTGAAATTATTTTTTGAAAATGTACTGAACGATGTGACTGTTTGGTAGTTTGGAATTCGACTGTGATGGAAATGCACATTTCGATCTGAATTTATACGCAAAATATTCGCAGGAGGGGATATACTTTGAAGACTAATTAATCTTTGTCTTCAACATACTTAGTATATAAAAAAAAACGTATGTTCAAATAATCGTATATTTGTACATCTGTCGCAAATATTGCTTTGTTCGGTAAACAGCGTTGCTGACTTTGTGCAAAAGTGATTCCCAATCTGTTCTGATAAGAAGCATCTTAGGGATCCATTTACTTTGCATAGCTGATAAGAGACTCTAGATCATGGCGCACCTTGACAGATCGGGAATCACTT